AGGGGAGCCGCTGGGACTCTTCTAAAGGGGAGCCCCTGGGCCTCTTCTAAAGGGGAGCCGCTGGGACTCTTCTAAAGGGAAGCCGCTGGGACTCTTCTAAAGGGGAGCCGCTGGGACTCTTCTAAAGCTGACAGTCGGCATTACACTGGAAGTGATTCTAGACGCTGATCTGCCGCCAGATAGCTTCCAGGGGTCAGTGAAGCATGCTCCCACCACCCCGCCTTGCTTCCTAGGCTCCGCTGCCCCTCCTACGGGTCCAGGACCAGCATCACAGGTGTTGGTGGGCAGAGGGGAGAGGGACCGGTGAACATCTGTTCTCCAATCTCATCCCAGCTGAATGGAGCTGGATGCGACGCTGATTGCATCACTTCCAGCTCCTCAGCTGTCATTCCCCGACTACAGGCTATTTAAGCCCAATCTGTACTTGAATAGTGGAAAGGATACACTAGGGGTCTCATAGACTCCTAATGTCACCCTAAAGAGAACCTGTCACTGCTAATATGCGATCACATAGGGGGCTTGTGAGAAGTTAAGTTAAAAAAAAGTTAAGTAAGTTAAATTTAAAAATACCAAAAAAAAGTCCCCTGCACCCCGCATTCACCTACATACGAAAATGAAAGTTGTGCTGCACATGTTTGGTATCGCTGCTTTCTCCAGAGTGAGAGCAATCATTCTGGGACAAATGTTCACAGATGACACTAAACTGATGACCTGTACTGGCTTTTAAAGCGCCGCCAATGGACAAATTGGGGGTATCGTATTTTGTCTCCGTTTCACAGTGGCACGCAATTTTTGAGCTTGGATATTATATTGTGTTTGGGGCTCCAAAATTAACTTAAAAGAGAACTATGGGGTAAGTGTTTTTCCCTCTAGCTCTCTTTAGGGTCACAGGAGGACATATACTAACCTCCTCCCATGACCCAAAGCTCAGTATATAGGGAGCTGCAGCTAGCGGTATACCGAGACCGCCGCAGCCGGGACGCGTCCCGACATTACTGTCTGGATCCACCCAGCTGCGTGAGTGACAGCCGGCTCTGCCAATCAAGAGGCAGAGCCAGCTGTGCCCGCCCCCTCCTCCGTCCGTTCCGCCAGTCAGCGCTGGCGGAGCGGAGGGGAATCCCTGCAGGGAGCTGTGAGTGACAGTCACGGCTCTCTGCAGGGGCATGATCGAGAAGTGAGCGAGCGACGGTATGTATTCTCTCACTTCCCGATCTATTGAGCCGACGTGTGACAGTTTCATTGTCACACGTCGGCTTGAACTATGAGGATGAGTGAAAATCACTCGCCTCATAGTTCTCCTTTAAGTGTACTTTTTACTGGTATTTGGGTTTGATAAAGAGTTGTGCCAATACCATGCGATGTAAAAATGTGCAACTGCCGCCATTTTATTCTACAGGGTCCGTGCTTTCAGGAAATGTATAACTCTCAGGGGGGTTTATGTCATTTTCAGGCCTAAAATGTGGATTATAATGTGCAAAAGGCTTGACGTTTCTTCCATTGACTTTATATTCACTTTAATTTCTAATGAAATACAAATAATCTTTTTTGTTTTATATTTATTTATTCATAAAGAACAGAAGAACAAATATAACAACAAAATAATTCTCTGTGTTTTACATTATAATAATAATAACGAGAAATAATTTATATAAAACGATTTCCCAGCAACACGGCGAGACATCAGTGGGGACAGACGAGGGACGTGAAATGGTAAATAGACAATAAGAGAGAATATGAGGATCGGGTTTCTGACATAGAAATGTAACAATTTAACCTTTAAATCCATCCCGAGTTTATTTCATTGTATCATTTATTTATCTCCTAATGGTACTTTTATTGTCCTGGTGTCAGCGCGGACGCAAGCTCTTCTGTTGCTGTGGAACGGAGGGCCCGGGATGATGAGGTTGTACCGGTAGATGCTCTCGGGGGGGCCGGATCACGCATTAGCCGTGTGGATGTTTTTAGCATCCCCCCTCCTCGGAGCGCAGTATCAGTTACCTCCTCATAGTATCTGGCCGTGATGCTGTCCGCAGGTTCATATTACACCAGCTAGAGGATAACTCAATCTTTCCATGGACCGCACACAGGAAGCCGGGACATCTTAAAGGGTCCAAATTGATATTGAGTTTCCAGGCGGAGTCCGGTGGGTTGAGCAACCTGCTGGCTTTTGTCCCTTTAGGACTCTGTTAACATGGAAGTCTCACTTCTCTTTCTACAACCGGCCTCCCTCTGTTCTCCTTCCTTTCAGCGTCTTCTGTTTCCTTCCTAGTAATATAAAATGTATAAAAATAATAATAATGTAATAATATATAATAATAATAATATAATAATAAAAATAATAATAAAATGTATAAAAATAAATATATATACTTGTCACAATCTGATTGTACATTCTTCTTTTTAGCTCTACCAACAATCCTCTTTCTCCTGCACAATGTGTTGGCACGGACGCTTGTAGGCTCCATCACGGGTACATGTGACAGGGGTGACAATGCAGGGGCACAACTTGGAGACAGTTGTCACCGTATAACAGGAAGTGCCTGAACAAGGACTTCCATGGCAGGATCACCGGGGGTTATTTTAAAGTGTATGTGCAGCCAAAACCTGTTATTTTAGCTTTGGGTAGAGTAGGGAATGGTTGGAAATGTCGCTTCCAGGGCCCAGTCAAGCATGCTCCCTTCCCCTGCCTTTCTTCCTGGGCTCCGCTGCCCTTCCTGCGTGTTCAGGACTAGCATCACAGGTGTTGGCGGGTAGAGGGGAGAGTGACTGGTGAACATCTGTTCTCCGATCTCCTCCCCTTTGAATGGAGCTGCCTGTGTCCCAAAGAGATTTCCCTTCACTTCCTGTCCTGGAGATGTAACAGGAAGTTAGAGTAAATCTATACAAAATGAAGGGAAATCCCCCCCCCCAGACCTGTGTCATCGAAACAGGTGTCCCCAATGAAGCAAGACTTCAGCTACAAGGTCATTCTACTAGACGAGGCTTGACCTCCTTATCTCTTCCAATGACTACCCCAACCGAGTCCTCCCATGCAGATTTCAGGCCCTGATGAAAGGGGTAGTGCCGGAGCCCCCGAAACGCGTTGGCTGTCTCACCTCATCTTGTTGTGACCATTTTGGATTCTTTTACCATTTGGTTTGGCACTCTTACAAGATCCAGACTCAAGAATAATAAAATCTTGGCAGGGGCTCTAGCCGTCCGCATTTTATCCAAAACTAAAAGAAAAGAAGGTTTCGGCAATGGATACTGTGTCACTCCTCAACATTGGCTGTGGCAGCACGTCGGTGGGCTTCGTGCCATGCATACAGCGGGCATTGCTGTTTTGTGCTGGGGGTGTGCTCAAGCGCTCGCCCCCAGGGACTGTGACCACACTGTCCCCAAAGGATGGTAGAATGGGCTCCCGATCATGTGATCACTGACAGCCAATCACATGTTTGGGAAGCCAAGGATATGCCTCTAGCGTTGAGCTCCATTTAAAGGGGCCAGGTGGGGTAATGGGGGAGCGGAATGGGGGGTAATGGAAGATTACATTAACATTTGTTGAAGCTTGGATGAGATTTTAGCGGATTTCAGACCATTTTCGGAGCTGAATATGTTTTTCTCTCCCTTGGCGCAGGAAATCCTCTATCCGCTGATCTGGTCACAGATATGGCTGCTCTTGGTGCTGATAATGCCGAATAAGCATTACGAAGCCTCTCCGAACGACGTGCTCAGCGACCTGGAGATCAGTCCGCTACCGACCGTCGGCTACACGCCAGCCACCAATACCACGGAGAACATCATGGCCGTGGCGTGGGCGCAGTGTCTTGGATCAGGTAACATGTCGCTGAAATACATTTAGGCCCCGTTCACATTGAGCGATTTATCGCGCGGTAATTCCCGCGATATCGCGGCTATTTACTGAGCGATATCGCTCTTCAATGCTTTGCAATGGGGCAAAGGGTCCTGCTGTCGCGGGTCGTGTGTCGCCACAGCAGGACCCTTTTTGGAGCGGATTTTGCCGCGATTCTCGCTTGCTCAATGCAAGCATTTGCGCGATATCGCCCGACAAATCGCGCGATATCATGCAAATTGCACGACAAACGCGCGATTTGCGAATCGCGCAGTGTGAATGGGGCCTTAAAGGTGAACATTGGTGCCCAGAACTTTGTGTCCCCGGACTTTGGAATCGGGTCACTTGAGGAAACACAGACAGCGTCAGCTGATAATTAGTATTCTCACAGCCAGCTATTCTTCCGGCGTCGGGCACGGCGATCGCACCGCGGATAAATATAGACGTGAGGAAACAGCAAATATCTCAAACCACAGCCATGGGACCGCTTTCTGCTTTTACCTTTCCTGAAGTGGTGTGTGTGTGCGTGTGTGTGTGCTCGTGTGTGTGCTCGTGTGTGTGCTCGTGTGTGTGCTCATGTGTGTGTGTGTCTGTGTGTGCGTGCGTGTGTGTGTAATATAAATGGGTAAGCCGTATTAGTCCAGTAGACAAGATGTCAAAAAAACCAAGAACTTAGTATTGCAGTGTGCAATGACACCTTTCTCATCGGGCTAATGAAATGTATATAATATATATACACAGTCATGGCCAAAAATATTGGCACCCCCGGCATTCCTGTCAGATAATGCACCACTTGGCGCAGAATCATGTTCCAGTAATAAATGTTTCGGCGTTCTCGTGTTTATTTCTTTTGTTTGTTTTGGTGACACAAAAAAAGTGGAGAGAAAAAAAAGCCAAATCTGACACATTCCACGCAAAACTCCAAAAATTGACCGGACAAAATGATTGGCACCTTCTCCAAATTGCAAGAAATAATTAAAGGAGAACTACGGGGTCAGGGCTTTTCCCACATAGTTCTCCTAAGGGTAACGGGAGGACACAAACTAGCGTCCTCCCGTCACCCTAGGCTCAGTATATAGGGAGCTACAGCTCGCGGTATACTGAGACGCCGCAGCCAGGACGCATCCCGACAATTGTGCCGGGATCCGCCCAGCTGTGTGACTGACAGCTGGCTCTGCCTATCTAGAGGCAGAGCCAGGTGTGCCCGTCCCCTCCCCCGTCCGTTCCGCCAGTCAGTGCTGGAGGATCGGAGCGGGAATCCAGCCCCTCCTCCCCTGTCACGGCAGAGAGAAGTGACAGGATCGAGAGGTGAGCGAACGCCGATATGTGTTCGCTCACCTCCTGATCTACTGAGCCGACCTGTGACAGTCTCATTGTCACAGGTCGGCTAGAACTATCAAGGACGCCGATATGTGTTCGCTCACCTCCTGATCTACTGAGCCGACCTGTGACAGTCTCATTGTCACAGGTCGGCTAGAACTATGAGGTGAGTGAAAAGCCCCCCCCCCCTCCCCCCTCATAGTTCTCCTTTAAACATTTGCATGAGCTTCCTACTCCCAGAATGGAGTAGATGTCACATAATTACTTCCAGAGGTTTGTAGACTGTAGGTGGAGATATGGGGGAGACTCGACGCGTTTCACAGCTATAATAAGTTTCTTCTTCAGGAGAGAATGGGATATCTATAGAGGGACATACAAATGGGATGAATATACATACGAATGAGTATGACATAAATACACATAATGCTGTTTTGCAGATGTCGATATCATGCCCTATCCCGACGAGGAGAGTTTAAAGGCCGCCAGCTCTTCCTTCCTGCACTTCGTCGGCATCAAATTCGAAGACTCCATGTCGTACCAGCTCATGTTCTTCCCGTTCTTCATCCCAAAGCCAACTTTGTACATACAAGGTACGGGTCAGATTTACAGGGACGGGACTGACATTAACCCTTTGGATGCAAGTTTATGCATCAGTCATGATGTCATGTCATCATGGGTGGGGCTTAGAAGGAAGGGGGTGGGGCTTCCTAGTTTCAGTGCGTAAAGGAAACGGCAACTAATATTTTGTGTTTAAAAGGATATCTAACCCTAAGAACCCAAATATACATTGTAGTCTTTACCGAACCCCAAACTGCAGGATTTTCTGCTGGATGGGTTATGGGAAGAAAACACTAGATGTTATCCAAGATGGCGCCGGCTTCAACGGTAGTGGGGGGGGCAGGGGGGGACTACATGAGGAAACACAATACGAATCCTTATTATGCTGTACAGAGGATCTAGTGAGCATGCAATGCATTTATATCTGAGATCAAGACTAGGGGGTTCCTATGGTGGACTGCAGGGCTCAATCCCACTTGAAGGTCCAACAGATACCAAGAATGTATTTGTTTTATGAAGGTCATGCTGCTCCTTAGATAGATGTGGGATGTACCCCACTGCTGATGATTGGGGTCCCCCAACATCACCCCCTTCACTTCACTAGGACTCCATTAGGAGACAATAGACCAGAGAGTGCGCTGCCAGTGGTACTTAGACCAATATAACCAGCTGCTGATGAGTTCTGTGCCTGACATTGTGATCGTCTAAATACCACTGAGCGCGTTCCCGACCCAGTCCATACGCATTGTCCCTGATGAAGGGGGCCCCCGGAATGTGTTGGCTTCCTCATTTAAACCTTCTATCTAACCTTATATTGGAATAAAAATGTGTTTGGACTACTAACTCTATCCAAGGTTTTACACAAGATAAATGACAGCTGCAGTACTAAGCTCCTTCAGCTGACTCGCAGGTTT